AGAAATATTACCAAATCACGATGTACAATTCCTTCGCCATGTAAACACGATACAGCAGAAGCTAGCTGAAATGCCAAGTTATATTTATCATCCAAGCAAGCTTGTCAAAATTATCCTTCAAATAGTTTCTAAGTGCACCGCCATAAGCATATTCCATTACTAACCAATATTTTTTCAATTGATCATTTTGGTGGTGTTCTAATTATTTTATGCTTTTAATAATAAATTAACGAGTTAAATATATGTAAAATTCAATATATTTATCTGTAATCAACCTAATAATTTAAAATTTTGTACCTTGATTTGATGTTGTAATCCCTAAAAGGCGGATGATATTGCAATGAAAATCAACTTCTCGTTGATGTTCAAGCAAATTATTGATTTAAATGATTTATTTTATACTAAATAGACAGAAATACAATATTGCATTTATTAGTTACCTCGCGAACAAGTTCTTTAATAGTGGCATTGTTACAGCAATGAAATGATTTTAACGTCTTGAATTTTTCCAATTTGCACGATAGACTTTTCCAAATCCGCCTGTACCAATCTCTTGAAAATTGCTAAAATGTTTATATTCGTAGTATTTGATATCTTTTGTTGAAATATATTCTTCAATCCACTCATTTGAATTATTGGCAGTTTGCATTTTAATCTTTTTTTTTTTAATTTGATATTTAGAAAAGAAATGATAAGAAAAAAATGCATTCGGTAGATCATGCAACATTTATCAAATTTCTAAGCCACCGGACATTGGAGTAACTTCCTTTTTTGACTTGTTAATTGTGATCCATATTTTTTTATTTTAATTTTACTCAATATAAGGTTAAATGTTATATGGCAACAAAAATAAATTAACATAAAGATTGGCTTAATTAATAATAATTACCAGGAAACAAAACGACATATAATCGGCAGTGACACAAGTAAGTTAGTTCTACTCAGACAAAGTATCAGAGGTTGAAACCGGGAGAAGTTTTTTTTTAAAATATTAATTTTAATTCTTGTCGAAATTTAATTTTCGGGCATTAAAAATATTTTGTGATTACTAGATTTGCCCTAATTTATAGTTCCGGTCAGGATTCAAAGTTAGTTTAAGTAGCACAAGTATTTAATCCCAACTTATTTGCCCATTATATTCACAAAATAATAAATCCTAACTTTTGGGCGATATTAAAATTTGGCAAAAAAAATTTTTTTTGATATAGCATAATACATATATATATACATGTCGATATTACTTAAAATACTTTTTATTTATATTAAAATATATCTATAAGAAATAATAGATTAGAGAATTTTTGACATCTTTAGTGAGTTAGATGTTTTGTTAATGAATTCAAATATTTTTAACACGATTGGTTCACTTATAAATCATTAGGAACGCTTAGATTTGGATCTTGTGAGTTGTGTGAATTTCAAATTTCGAAATTTAATGGTTATATCGAGGTTGTTTTTAAATGTTATGAAAAAATTTGTAAGGAAGCAAGTGATAAATTATTTCTCATATCGAGTTGAAAATGTTGTTCACTCTCGAAAAGTGGAACACCAGTATTCAATGGCGTCAGTCATCTGTTTATAAAAATGGGTTATTATTATGATTTTTAACGTATTATTTTGTGATAAAATTTAACATTGAAGTATGAATTTTTTTAACGGAGAAACCTTAATAAAATATTAAATTTTACAAATAAATCCGTAAATTTTAGTTACCTGAATTTAATAACGTTAATAAAAATACAATTTTTTTTAATCAACTCTAAAAGTTGAAAAATTACCATCGTTGGTCACGTGAATACTTCCGCCGCAAATTTATTGGTCAATTTTTGATATACGTGCTTTATTTAATTATTACCTTATCCGAATTATTTAATCATATAACAGAAAATACTTCAAAGATGCATATGACGTATGATCGGCAATTGTAAGACATAAAACGGAACGGAAAAACATTAATGACTAATACTCCGTAAAATTTCACATTTGACAAAAAAAAAAAAACGAAGAAACGTAATGACATTATAAAGATAACATCAAAAAAATATTTATTAAAATCTATAAGATGGATCTCGATGAAGAAGAAGCTGAAATAGAATCCGCTCAAAATCATGGAGATTTGGAAAGTACCTTCTGTTGGTATCATAAAACCGCAGAAAATGAAAATAAATTTGCTCAATATAACCTTGCACTTTTATATGAAAAGGGAGAAGGGACGGACAAAAATTTAGAAAAGGCCTTTTATTGGTATAATAGAGCAGCCGACAATGGTTATGAATTTGCTCAAAATAATCTTGCACTTTCATACGAAAAGGGTGAGGGGACGGTAAAGGATTTAGAAAAGGCCTTCTATTGGTATCAAAGAGCGGCCGAAAATGGTTATGAATTTGCTCAAAATAATCTTGGTTGTCTATATGAAAAGGGAGAGGGAACGGAAAAAAATTTAGAAAAAGCCTTTTATTGGTATAAAAAAGCGGCCGAAAATGGTTATGAATATGCACAAAATAATCTTGGATGTTTATATAAAAATGGGGATGGAGTAGAAAAGAATTATGAAATGTCCTTTTATTGGTATCATAGAGCAGCGGAATGTGAAAATGATTTCGCACAATATAACCTTGCACTCTTGCATGAAAAAGGGGAGGGAACGGAAAGAAATTTAGAAAAAGCATTTTATTGGTATCAAAAAGCGGCGAAAAACGAAAATCATTTTGCACAGAACAATCTTGGTTACTTATATAAAAAGGGTGAAGGAACGGAAAAAGATTTGGAAAAGGCTTTTTATTGGTTTAAGGAATCAGCAGAAAAAGGGTATAACGCAGCGCAATGTAACCTTGCCTTTTCATATGAAAAAGGTGAAGGAACGGAACAGAATTTAGAAAAAGCCTTTTATTGGTTTCATAAGGCAGCAGAAAACGGTTACGAATTTGCACAAAATGCTCTTGGTTGCTTGTATGAGAAAGGTGAAGGAACGGAAAGGGATTTAGAAAAAGCCTTTTACTGGTATCTAAAAGCAGCCGAAAATGGTTATGAAATCGCTCAATACAATCTTGGTTATTTATATGAAAAAGATGAAGAATCCGAGGAAAATTTAAACCAAATATTTTACTGGTATCAAAAAGCAGCTGAAAACGGTTGTGAAGTCGCGCAAAATACACTTGGTTGTCTATATGACAAAGGCAAAGGAATAGAAAAGGATTTGGAAAAAGCTTTTTATTGGTATCAGAAAGCCGCAGAACGTGGATATGAAGTTGCACAGTATAATTTGGGTGAATGTTATGAATTGGGAAATGGGGTGCAGAAAGATGAATGCAAAGCATTCGAATATTATCAGAAATCTGCAGTTCAGGGGTATTTTGGTGCGGTATTTCAACTTGGATATTGCTATGTAAACGGAATCGGAGTAGAGGCTAATAAAGAAAAAGGTTTTGAATTATATAATAAGGCTGCTGGAAATAATGATGATATACTATTAATTTATTGTGATGATGTCATATTTAGTGACTTGGATGAAGTTAACTATTGGTATCATAAAGCCGCGGACAATGACAATAATCAACTTGCATTATATAAGTTAGGCGAACTTTATGAAATAGGAAAAGGTGTCGGTGAAAATTTGACTAGAGCATTTGAATTTTATAAGAGTTCAGCTAATCAAGGATATTCGGAGGCCCTATGCAAAGTTGGATATTACTATGAACATGGAATTATAGTTGAAGCTGATAAAGAGAGGGCAATGGATTTGTACAGATTAGCTGCTAAGGAAGGAAATGGAATGGCTCAAAAATATATTGCGAATTTGTTTGAACAAAGTGAAGAAATAGAAAATAATATATAGATAATGGTATATTGGGAAGGAGTTATAGAAATTCTGAATGTACAAATTAATAATAAATTATTTCTTTATTTACTTATTTTATAACGACTTTACAAATTAATTTATTTTAAATTAGAAAGTAACCGCTCATAATGTTGAAAGATTTTGTGATCAACTGCTATTTGTTTGTAAATATTTTCCAAGATAATGATTTCTTCTCTGTTCATAAATAATTATTTTCACAAACTTTATATGTATAAATTTAGAGAATTGATATATTATTCTAATCTAGATCCACCTGAAAATAAAAAATTGTAACCAATAACTATAATTTCAATTTCAATTTAATACTTCCAAATCGGTGATTCGTAAAAAATAAAACGCTCCTTAAACTTTAATATAGATTTAACTAAGCTTAAATTAATTCCGACCGGATATCAAACAAAAATATAGAAATAATGAGCATATGATTATATCATTAATTGTATCGTTAAAACGAAATGGTTTTTTTAATTGTGAAACTCTCAGTATATTTGTTTCCGTGTATTCTGAACAAAATGATATCGTGTGACATTCCATAACATATCACCCCGTGAACAATAAGTTTCAAACACTTAATTTAAGATGTAAACTAATTTCGCTTGAAAGATTTTCTTTACCGATGCCTTAATTCCTGTCACGCAATAACCATCCTTTAGGAACATTATTATTTGGATGAATAACATTTACAATATCTGTTATTTAGCAATGAATTTTACAGCTTAAACTATATACGGTGAAGAAATTAATTTTACTAGTGTGAATTCGTTTTCAGATTTGTATTTAGTTGAAAATTCTGGTATTTGCAGTGTTTTCATAACTATAAGAAATAAACAATTTATTTATTTAGTGTAGGATCCATAATTGAATTATTTTATATCGTATCCATACGGTAGGGTAAAAAGAACTATAACAAAAAAAATTCTTGATATCATCAATGACGATTCATAATTAGGATACTAAGTTGAATTACCAACTTTTGAAGGTACTTGAATAATTCGAAAAAACATTCCTTTTTCTAAAGCAAGTCTGAGATTTTAAAAATATTCATTGTCCGTATTCCCTGATGCGCATTATAATTATGATAGAACACAATCGAAAAAGAATTTATCATTTTAAATGTATTAAACAGTTAATGGTAAAAGTATATCAAAAGTCTTACAATATTCCGTAAAACAAGAATTGATATGTAAAGAGCGGCAGGCTATAAATAAATTTTGGAAACTTAATGATGCATATATAATGATGTATTTCCCAACGTTAACGAAATGTTTACGTGCTTTGTTCTAAGATGATGTTGTATTAAAAAATATTAAATAAATTTGATGGACAATAAACAATTTTCTTAATACTAGTATTTATTTAACTTTGGTCAAATTTATTCAAGTTTATTTTATGTCGATATAAGAGGTGGCCAGACGTGACAGTTAGTAAGTCTTCTTGCAAGTACAAAAATTAATAATTAGCAATTTGTGGTAAAACATAACAATAACCTTTATAGCTAGCGTTTTTTAATATACATATGTATATGAGAGGTAATAATTAAAACCTTTTGCCAAAAATGTTTGAGAAAATTATGCTTCAAAAAATCATTTTGCAGATCATAAAAATTAAAAAATAATCCGGTATTTTAAAAAAAAAAAAATTATCGCTACGATCGAGTATGTCGGCAAAATATTTTTTACACATAAAAATGATATATCATTATTTCTATTTTTCTATTTCATTTTTTTTCCTTAACAACTTATATTTTGATAAATTACGATAATATGAACGTTGGTATATTGATTTTATTTATAATGTTTGAAATAAGTGTTTCACACATTTTATTACAAAAAAATTATAATAAAGCATAGCTAAATGAATTTATTTCGCTTCATAAGATCATCATCATTATACTCATATTCTGGTGGAATATCCTCATACTTCACTAAAAAAAAATTGATAATATTAAATTACTAAAAATAAAAATTATCAACGGTACCAAATGATATTTTATGTATATATATATTTTTTTTCTTACAATAAAATCCTAGATTATTCCTAAAATTTCTGTGACATAAAATAAGATTGATACTTTGTGCCAAGGTCATAAAGAAAGCTAATGAACCTAATATTAAAAGGAATGTAATTATATAATTGATAATTGTAATGAATGTATAAACAAAAAATATATTTTACCTGTAGCAGAGACGGTTTGAGATTCTGAAGAATTGTACAATTTAAAAGTATTTTCACAAAAATCCTTTCCCTTCATTCTTATAATATGAACAGGACAATAAATTAAAATTCTATATGTTATAAGAAAGCATTCTATCAAATTTAATAAATGAATCAAATAGATCAGTTTTGATTCTCCCATAACCTAATAATGAAAATTTTATTATAAAAAACTTTTTGTTTTAAATACATAATTAATTATTCAAAATATACTTACCACAATGATTATAAATAATAAAACAATTAAATAAGTTAATTGATCAATCATTATGAGATCCCAAATAAAAGTATTGATATCATAAAAAGACAAGTTTATATTGAAATAAATTACTTCAAACAACCACATACAATATGCCCATGCTGATACCGTTATGAAGTTTGCATGGATTAATACAACTTGATATTGATATCTTTTGTACATTACTTACATCACATTAAAATGGATATCGTTAATATATGTAGATTATAATTAGTGTATATATGTATATTTAATTTAAATACTTACTTTTGATCTGAATTTTTTTTGTGTTGCCAATATCTTTGAAAATTTTCCATTGTCTGGGGCGAAAAACAGTTACTAATTAGTCTTATTGGGAAAGGAATAATTTAAATATGCTTTCTTACCCTTTATACCAAAGAAGAGCCATCAATATTAGGTAAATACACTCAAAGAAAACATGCACAATTAATATAAATACTTGATTTCGATAAACATTTTTAATTTTAATACTACATCTTTTGTCACCGCAAGAATTGTAGACGAACATTGCATGACTAGCCGTTAAAAGAAAATTCATAAAACAAAAAACAATCCCATGTAATAATGTTTTTGTGTTTATCTAATCAGATAATTTATATTTAATTAGTACATTATCATCCAAAAAATTTTTTTAATTTTTAATTATTTTTTTTACTTACAGTGACCATAAATGAGCTTAATGGAATAACAAATATCAATAAAAAATAAAAGTAGATCGCTTTGCTGGTAAAAAATCCCAAAGATTCGACATAAGTTACATATGCTAATAAGAAAACAAAATATACGGCAGTATGAATTATAAAAGAAAGAACAAAAAACTTTTCCAATATCGTGTAATTCGATAAAATTGTACATATTTCTAAATATTTAAGAATTTGTTTGAAATGAAGCATTTTATTAAAAAATTGAGATAAGAAATTTTTTTTTTAAAAAAATAATTGTTTTGTGGCTTTAACCGACGGATTATCTACAAACAGTTTGGGGATCAACAGAAATCATGTTACACAAGTTTCAAGTTTCTTGTGACTGAAAATCCGAGTCAAATTTCTTATAAAATTTTTTATATTTTGGTCATTGCCTAAAACAATATTAAAAATATACTGATTATAATAATTCTCAGCGTTTCTTAAATTTTGTGAATTAGGAAATAATTGACTTGTAACCGAAAAGAGTTAATGTCCTAAATTATGGATTGCATTTTAAGCTTTGGGTAAACTTTTCACGAATTTGATATCGGATAATTTAACAGTTGTATAAACTTGCGGTTATATTACAAATTTCGAAACCATGGTTTGCTTTACTGATTTATTATTTAATGACTTGTGACTTGTGCAACGTTTTTAACCTTGAAAGACTTAATGTAGCATAAAAGAAGACATCAACATGGTGAAATGAATCGCTTTTCTTCCCCATGACATACTCAAAATTATTTCTTGGAAATTTGCCAGAACTATCAAGTCATGTTATCCAATATTTACGAAATGATTCACTTCATTCATGTGTTTTAGTCAATCGACTTTTTTGTCGAATTACAGTTCCTATCCTTTGGGAAAATCCTTTTTCTATTGAATGTCTAAAAGGAGGTCGTTATAATTTTCTTGATATTTACATTTCTTACTTTAATGATGACGATAAAACAAGATTAAAGAAATTTGGAATCACAATCAATCCTTCTTCATTTATAAAACCTTTGTTTAATTACCCCAATTTTATTAAAACAGTAGATATGTTTCGTATAGTGATGCATACTGATAATTGGATAAATTATCTAGATAAATCAATCCCTTCGACAAATGCATTTAAATTTACATTTAGCCCAATACTTGAAGAAAGATATTCAAGATCCCTATGAAAAATATTCGTTCACTAAATATCAAAAAAATGTGCATTTGTTTTTATCCGTTAAATGTAATGAATAATG